CGGGGGGGGCGGGGGGCGCCATCGACGCCGGCGGCGCCATGAATCACACCTCTGCTCCGCACGTTGCCACAGCCCCCCATCGGCCATGCGCGGGGCCAGGGGGGCCCATGTGCCGTGCGCCGTGCGCGGCGCCAGCCGAGCCGCCTCCGGCGCCGCAGGGCACGCGTGTCCGCGACGGCGTCTTGCTCTCTCGTCGCCCACGCGTCGAAGGGCGGAGGGGGGAGTTCGGGGGCCAGCGCCCCCCCCCCCCCGAGCATCGCAAGCGGCCGCCTCCGTCGCTCGACGGGGCGCGGTCGGGCGCGCAGCTGCAGCCCCCCGACCGCCTTGCCCGAGGCCGCCTGGGGGGCTCGAGCGCCCGCGCTGGGGCCCCCGCCCGCGCAGTCGCGCTCCGAGGTCTTGGGCCGGGGGGCGCAGGCGCAGCTAGAGGTGCTCGACGCTTTTCCGGGACAGAAACGTCGGACAGACGTCGGGGAAAGGCGGGGCCGGCCAGGCCGCCCATCGCGGCGCGGCAGGGCGACTATCTCGGGCAGCTGGCAGCAGGCGGGCGGGGCGTGCCTAGAGTTGCGCCGCCGGGCAATCCATGGTCGCGGGTGGGTGCGTGTGGGGGGGGGGGGCGCGCCGCCGAGGCCAGCGCCCGCAGAGGTCAACGCGGCGCACGTGAGGGCGCCCAGGGCTGGAGGGCCGTGGAAGAGAGGACCGGTTGTCCAACCAGCTCGCCAGCTTCGCCCTCCAAGCGCCGAAGGTGCAACTGGCGAGCAGCGCGCGGGCAGCCGGTCTCGTCGAGTAGCCCAGGGGCCCCGGTGGCGCCCTAGCGGGCGACCTTCGCAGACAGCGCCCCGCCAACGCGCGGGCCCCTCGGCCTCGGTGACAGGCGCGCTGCGACCTGGCCCCCGCAGCTGCGCGGGTTGGCGACGCGGGGCATTGGCGCATTGGCCTGGCGGCCCACCGCCCAGCACGCGGGTGGGAACCTTGCCTGCAGCCGCTCGATAGACGAGCGCAGCGCGCAGGACGAGTACTTGTGGTGCCTTTTTGCCAGGTGGTCTCTGGGGTGTTGCAGGGGGGGCATGCGGGCGGCAGCATGCTGGCTCAGGCAATGGATCCTACCATGCGGGACACGCGTGCCAGATTAAATATGCATCCTGGGTCGGAGGTGGGTGCGATTGCGGATGACGTGGGGGCGGCCGTGGGGGAACTCGTTGCTTCGTCTGGGCCCTCGAGAGCATTCTATGCTGCGCGTCTTCCTCGCGGCCTCAAGCTTAAGTTCCTCGAGTGCTGCGCCAGTGCTGTCTCTGAGGTTTCCCCCATCCATCTTGTGGAGTTGGGTTTTACTTTTGAATAGACAACGCCCCGCGTCCCACTTCGCTTTCCTCCTCCCGTTCCCGCGTCCTCCCTCCTCCCATCATTGTCATCACCATCGTCATCCTCATCCTTGTCGTCGCCGTCATTGTCATCAGGATCTGCAGCAACGAGCATCAGCATCAGCATCAGCATCAACATCGCCACCACCATCAGTCACGTTTTGGCACACCGCTGACACGTTTCGTGGCCCCACAGGAACTCCACCGAAGGCCCCAGTGGCACAGTCCGCATGGCATGCCCGCGCCCGATTCGGCACGCCCTCCACACGTTTCGTGCCCTTCCTTGGGGAACTCCACCGAAGGCCCCAGCGGCGCAGTGCGCATAGCGTGCCCGCACCGGATTCGGCATACCTTTGACACGTTTCGTGGCCCCCCCTCGGAAGCTCCATCGAAGGTCCCAGTGGCACAGTTCGCATGGCGTACCCGGACCCGGTTCGGTTCACTTTTCACACGTTTCGCGCTCCCTATTCGGGAGCCCCGCCGAAGGCCCCAGCGGCGCAGTCCGCATGGCGTACCCGTGCCCGATTCGGCACACCCCTCACACATTTCGTGGCCCCATAAGAGCTCCGCCGAGTGCCCCCGCGTCACAGACCGCATGGCGTGCCCGCGCCCGATTCGGCTCACGCCTCGTGGCCCCATGGGAGCTCCACCAAAAACCCCGATGGCACAGTCCGCATGGCAGGCCCGCGCCAGACTGCACGCCCCCCACATGTTTCGTGACCCCCCCCCCCGACAGCTCCACGAAAGGCCCGAGTGGCGCACTCTTCATAGCGTGCCTGCACCGGATTCGGCGCACTCCCTACACGTTTCGTGGCCCCATAAGGGGGCTTAGCCGACAGCCCCAGCGGCGCAGTCCCCATGGCGTACCCGCGCCCGATTCGGCACACCACTCACATGCCTCGTGGCCCCATAGGGAGCTCCACCGAAGGCTCCAGTGGCATATTCGGCATGGCGTACCCGCGCCCGTTTTGGCACACCTTTCCCACGCCTCGTGGCCCCATAGGGTGCTCCACCAGATGCCCCACCGGCACAGTTCGCATGACGCACTCGCACCCGATTCGGCACACCCCTCACCATTTCGTGGCCCCTCGGGAGTTCCACCGAAGGCGTATTCACAACGACGGCACTTACAATTGCACAAG